TTATGCCGCCTAGTACAAAGAGAAAGGTTTTCTGCCGAGTTAAGTTGCATTGAAAAAGGGCAGCCAGTTTCAAAGAACAGTAGTTTGATTAGTTTATCTCCCTATATTGATGGTAATGGTCTTTTAAGAGTATATGGAAGAATAGATGCTGCCAGCTACCTATCATACAACGTGAAAAGGCCAATAATATTGCCTAAAAATCATCAGTTTACGAAACTTTTAGTCATGCATCATCATCGCCAGATGATGCACCAAAATCACGAGGCTACGGTGTGTGAAATTCGAAAAAAGTATTGGATACCACAAGTACGTTCTTTGTTGAAGACAGTAGTTGCCGAGTGTTTTTTATGCCGATCTAGAAAATGTTTACCACGATTGCCCATCATGGGGCAGCTGCCATTAGACCGCCTTGATCCTAATATTCCGCCGTTCAAATATACAGGACTTGATTATTTTGGACCAATTACTGTAACAATTGGAAGGAGATCCGAGAAAAGGTGGGTAGCATTGTTTACATGCTTAACAATACGTGCTATACATCTGGAATTAGCGCATGACTTGTCAACGGATTCGTGTATCATTGCCATAAGGAATTTCATTAATCGTAGAGGTGTTCCAACCAGGATTCGTTCCGATAACGGGACAAATTTTATTGGGGCCAACGAGGAGTCTAAAAGATTCACCGAAGCCTTTGATGCTAATAGAATCCAGAGTGAGTTATCCAAGAGAGGAATTGAATGGATTTTTAATTGTCCGGCTAATCCTTCGGAAGGTGGCGCTTGGGAAAGAATGGTACAGTGTGTGAAAAAAGTTTTGCGGCATACACTGAAAGAAATCTCACCTCGAGAACATGTACTACAGTCTCTTTTAATCGAAGCAGAGAATATAGTGAATTCCCGCCCACTAACTCACTTGCCAATAAGTCCTGATGAGGAGGAACCACTTACTCCTAACCATTTTTTAATTGGCTCGGGAAATGTTGCACCTACCCCGCCAGTGAATGAACCCGACGGGAAGCTTTTTTCCCTGAAAAAACAATGGAGAGTTCTGAGGTGTCTTCGAGATAGATTTTGGAAGCGGTGGATTGCAGAATACTTACCCACTCTCACCAGGAGAGTTAAGTGGTGTGAATATACTCAACCAATCAGTGCTGGAAATGTGGTTTTCATCTGCGACCCAAATGTTCCAAGGAGTCAATGGCGGAGAGGTTTGGTCACTTGTGTCTACACGGGTACGGATGGTGTGCCAAGAAGAGCTGATGTGAAGACTTCGTCCGGAGTACTGCAACGTCCGGTATCCAAGTTAGCTGTTTTGGACATAGAAATTAGTGAAGCTGATCGCTCCACGGGGGTGGGGGTGTTGTAGATCAGGCCTATTATTTGATGTTATCGATAATTGTTATTTTGATTCTATCGATTATTATTTGCATTGTCACTTTGTATTGAATTACCGCAGTTTGCTGATTCCTCTTTCTTTGCATATTTGTGCTTATCGTTGCTGAGCGCAATTAGCTCATTTTAAATTTGATATTCGTTGAAGAAGGAGGCGCAAAACTGCGGTAAGTGTCCGTCATTTATATTTGTATTTTTGGTAAATTAACAGTTATGTTTTCGTAGAAATAAACGCAGCAACAATATAAACGTGTTTTATTGTCCGTTTAACGCAAGCCTCCTGCCCTTCTAGCCGCAGTCAGCAACATTTTTTTTATTTCGCATTTTGCTGTTATTGTATGTTGCAGTTTTTTGTATTTTCATACAAAGAACTGAGTTTGTTGCCGTGGTAATTGTTGGTGGACACAAAATAAGCAACCTTTTGGAAAATGTTACAGCATACTCCACCACGCCGGAGTCCTCGTCTGCAAGGAAATATAAATGCAGATGCTGTAACAGATGATCATCCTGATCAGACTCAGCCAGAGTCAATGCTAATTAGTGTCACAAACAAAACAACCACACAAACTGCCGGAGGTAATATTAAAAGTGGGGAACAGCCTATAACCTCACGTGTTGTGCAGCCAGCACCTATTTCCTCCATGGAATTAAATGGAAATCCAGCCACTACAGTAAGTGGCCACCAACAGCAAACTATCGGACAGAAGATGTCAGTGCCGATGTCGACTACAAGTCCTGCCAGTCCATCAGAGATGCAAAGACAAGTCAACCTATTGAAAAGCCAGCTATCGGAAACACAAAAGAAGCTGACCAACAGCAACCGCCAATGCCATGAACTCCAAAATGCACTCCGAAACGTATCATCCCAGGTAAGTGACCATAACCTCACATCAGTTTCAACCTCGCAAACGCCATTTGCAATCGCCATTGACACCAGAGCCGCCATGCCGCCAACAGCATTTGGGTCCCGCTATACCAATTGCCCAACCACACACACATATACAACCGCCGCCATGTTTCAGCCTGTAGCAAGCACCAGAGCCGTTATGCCGTCGACGTACGCTGCCTCAGCAATTGGAAACTTAACTGCAGCGACAGTGGCGAGCGCATCCTCTGCCGCGATGCCACTACTACAATCAGCACCAACTGCAGCCAGCAGTAATGCCAGCGCTGCTACGACCTGTTCAATGCCATTATGGGAGCCATTGCAAAATTTTCAACACTTTGATACTTTTCCAAATCCAAGCATACCTGCGATCACAATGCCAAGAAAAATTCAAGATTTGCCAGAATTCAGTGGTGATCCAGACGACTGGCCATTATTTTATACAGCTTTCAACCAGTCAACTGCAGCATATGGTTACACGAATTTGGAAAATAATCAACGTTTGCACAAGTCGCTCAAAGGTGAAGCCAGAGAAGTCGTCAAATCACTGCTTATTCATCCTGACAACGTCGACGACATAATTAAACAACTCTGTTTTAGATTTGGTAGACCGGAGCAGCTCATACATAGTCAGTTACGCCAAGCCAGGGAATTGCCTCAGATTTCGGAAAATAACTTAGGGAAGTTAGTGCCATTTTCAACAAAAGTTAAAAATTTAGCTGTTTTCCTGCAATCCGTGAATGGACAAAATCACATTGCTAACCCTACACTTCTGGAGGAGTTGGTGTCGAAGCTTCCAATGAGTAAGAAATTAGAATGGGCCAGGGTAGCCACTCAAATTCAACCATATCCTACAATAATACATTTCAGCGATTGGCTTTGCGAGATTGCTAATTTAATATGCATAGTGCAGGATGTGGAATATAAAGACCAAAAGCGCCGTGTTTTATTGCATTCCACCGGACAACAAATACAATGCCCTATGTGCCAGGGCCAACATAGGATTTATGATTGCCGCCGGTTTTTAAACCTGAATGTTCCAGATAGATGGAAACAAGTAAAAAAAAATCGTGCCTGTTTTTCCTGTTTGCACACTGGACATATAACCCGAGACTGTCGACGTAGACGAGTATGCCCTGAGGAAGGATGCGAGCGAAGGCATCATAAATTACTTCATGAGTGCACCACCCCCTGTGTTCCACCACCAACTTTGGCGAATCCTGATCCTAAATCTCAACAAAATGTTCTCAGTTGCAATTCCGAAGATAAGAAGAAACTTCTTTTTAGGGTTCTGCCTGTAACATTGTACGGGAACAATTGTTCAATGGAAGTCTACGCCCTCTTTGATGATGGATCATCCATCACCATGATGGACAGCGATATTGCCGAAAAAATAGGGATAAGAGGAAAGAATACTTCGCTCAATGTTCAATGGTTCGGAGGCCGATCAGCCAGAGAGCCCGTGACATCCTTCAACATAAAAGTGAGTGGATCTGGTAAAAAGGGTTGCCATCTACTAAAAAATGTGTATGCAGTATCTAATCTCAACCTTCCGATGCAGTCCTTGAGTCAAGATGAAATTTTATCAGCCTTTAAGAACTGTAAATTTCCTCCCGTGAAACCCTACTCCAATGTAGTGCCAAAGCTTTTGATTGGATTGGACCACGCGTCTCTAGGGTTGCCATCGAATTGTAAAATAAATAATGAATTTGGACCATTTGCATGTAATACGGAATTGGGATGGGTTGTTTTCGGGCCATGTCACTCTTTATCCTCAATTCAGAAGTCATCTTTGTTTATTTCGGTGGAAAACAAAGACGAATTACATCAAATAGTAGCTGATTATTTTAATGTGGAAGGTATGGGAGTTAGATCTGCTCCTTTAGTTGAAAGCGATGATGATGTTAGAGCCAAGAGAATTCTTGAAGAAACCACTCAACGAATTGGAGATCGATTTCAAACTGGGCTGTTGTGGAAACAAGATGAGATTCGTCTCCCAGATAGTTACCCGATGGCACTTAGTCGTCTGGAAGGAATTGAAAGGAAGATGAAACGAGATCCCAAGTTCTCTGCGGCCTACAGGGAAATTATAGATAAATACATAGAGAAAGGATATGTTCGGAAACTACAATCAGACGAGGTACGAATTTCTAGTGAAAGAAAATGGTATTTGCCGCACTTCGGGGTAGTCAACCCGAACAAACCTGAAAAGTTAAGACTCGTTTTTGATGCAGCCGCCAAGGTAAACAATATTTCGCTGAATTCTATGCTGTTAAAAGGACCTCAAAATATAGCTTCCTTGTTGACTATACTGTATAGTTTCCGCCGAGGCAAAATAGCAGTTGGTGCCGATATATGTGAAATGTTTCACCAAGTTAAAATTCAGCCGAGTGATAGAGTTTCCCAGCGATTCCTATGGAGGGATGGAAATCAGAAAGAGCCACCGGGTGTATACGAGATGCAGGTCATGATCTTCGGTGCAGCCTGCTCACCATGCTCAGCCATTTTTGTCATGAAAGCAAATGCTAAAGAACATTTGCACTATAATCCAAGAGCGATTGAAGCCATTAGCGAGAACCATTATGTTGATGATTTTGTAGATAGCTTTGAAAGTGTAGATGAAGCTATCATTATTTCTAAACAAGTGAAAGAAATTCACAAAAATGGCGGATTTGAATTGAGGAACTTCATATCAAACTCGAAGGATGTCTCCCAAACACTTGATGGTAGTTTGAAAGCAATGCCGATTAATAACGGAGCAGAGAAGGTCTTAGGATTATATTGGGAGCCTTCTAGTGATACGTTTATGTTCAACTTAAAATTCAATCGAGTCGATTCATCCATAATTTCTGGAGAACTGAAACCAACAAAAAGGAAACTTTTAAGCATTATAATGTCTACATTTGACCCCCTTGGACTTTTGGGCCACTTTACAGTGGGTGGAAAATTATTAATGCGACAGATTTGGAAACACGATTGTCGATGGGATGATATTATTCCTGACGATTTACATGCCATATGGGAAAGGTGGAGAGGTCAGATGAAAAATGTTGCCAAATTTAGCGTCCCTAGACATTATTTTCAAACAGGTTTGCCAACATCACTACAGCTTCATATCTTTGTTGATGCCAGTGAGGATGCCTTTGCTGCAGTGGCATATTGGAGGTACATTTCGAATGAGTACACTGATACCAGCTTCATCACTTCTAAAATTAAATGTGCACCTCTGAAAAAAGTTACGATTCCGCGTCTGGAGCTACAAGCTGCCGTTTTGGGAACTAGATTAATGCAGACTATTATGTCATCTCATATTTTGACCCCAGAAAAGATTGTTTTGTGGAGTGACTCCACAACAGTGTTACGATGGATAGCCAGCAGCCACAGACAATATAAACAGTACGTCGCCCATCGAATTTCTGAAATATTGTCATCAACAAAAATAGAGAATTGGAGATGGGTTCCAACAAGTGAAAATGTAGCCGATGAAGGCACCAGGTCATTCAACAATATTGACTTTTCCATGTCGTCCCGATGGTTAAGAGGTCCTGCTTTCTTGAGAATGACTGAACATGACTGGCCTACTAGAGTAATTGACACCACCTGTGCTAATGATATTGAGGAAAATCATCCGAAAACATCATTATTGATTGTTGAGAATGATTTTATTGATTTTAACCGGTTTTCGTCATTTACAAGAATAATAAGGTCGACTTGTTGGATTATTCGTTTTGTGAAAAGATGCCGAAATATTTTTGACGATTCGGAACAGTATGGTCTCACGTCCCGTGAATTAAATTGCGCCGAAGAAATATTATGCCGCCTAGTACAAAGAGAAAGGTTTTCTGCCGAGTTAAGTTGCATTGAAAAAGGGCAGCCAGTTTCAAAGAACAGTAGTTTGATTAGTTTATCTCCCTATATTGATGGTAATGGTCTTTTAAGAGTATATGGAAGAATAGATGCTGCCAGCTACCTATCATACAACGTGAAAAGGCCAATAATATTGCCTAAAAATCATCAGTTTACGAAACTTTTAGTCATGCATCATCATCGCCAGATGATGCACCAAAATCACGAGGCTACGGTGTGTGAAATTCGAAAAAAGTATTGGATACCACAAGTACGTTCTTTGTTGAAGACAGTAGTTGCCGAGTGTTTTTTATGCCGATCTAGAAAATGTTTACCACGATTGCCCATCATGGGGCAGCTGCCATTAGACCGCCTTGATCCTAATATTCCGCCGTTCAAATATACAGGACTTGATTATTTTGGACCAATTACTGTAACAATTGGAAGGAGATCCGAGAAAAGGTGGGTAGCATTGTTTACATGCTTAACAATACGTGCTATACATCTGGAATTAGCGCATGACTTGTCAACGGATTCGTGTATCATTGCCATAAGGAATTTCATTAATCGTAGAGGTGTTCCAACCAGGATTCGTTCCGATAACGGGACAAATTTTATTGGGGCCAACGAGGAGTCTAAAAGATTCACCGAAGCCTTTGATGCTAATAGAATCCAGAGTGAGTTATCCAAGAGAGGAATTGAATGGATTTTTAATTGTCCGGCTAATCCTTCGGAAGGTGGCGCTTGGGAAAGAATGGTACAGTGTGTGAAAAAAGTTTTGCGGCATACACTGAAAGAAATCTCACCTCGAGAACATGTACTACAGTCTCTTTTAATCGAAGCAGAGAATATAGTGAATTCCCGCCCACTAACTCACTTGCCAATAAGTCCTGATGAGGAGGAACCACTTACTCCTAACCATTTTTTAATTGGCTCGGGAAATGTTGCACCTACCCCGCCAGTGAATGAACCCGACGGGAAGCTTTTTTCCCTGAAAAAACAATGGAGAGTTCTGAGGTGTCTTCGAGATAGATTTTGGAAGCGGTGGATTGCAGAATACTTACCCACTCTCACCAGGAGAGTTAAGTGGTGTGAATATACTCAACCAATCAGTGCTGGAAATGTGGTTTTCATCTGCGACCCAAATGTTCCAAGGAGTCAATGGCGGAGAGGTTTGGTCACTTGTGTCTACACGGGTACGGATGGTGTGCCAAGAAGAGCTGATGTGAAGACTTCGTCCGGAGTACTGCAACGTCCGGTATCCAAGTTAGCTGTTTTGGACATAGAAATTAGTGAAGCTGATCGCTCCACGGGGGTGGGGGTGTTGTAGATCAGGCCTATTATTTGATGTTATCGATAATTGTTATTTTGATTCTATCGATTATTATTTGCATTGTCACTTTGTATTGAATTACCGCAGTTTGCTGATTCCTCTTTCTTTGCATATTTGTGCTTATCGTTGCTGAGCGCAATTAGCTCATTTTAAATTTGATATTCGTTGAAGAAGGAGGCGCAAAACTGCGGTAAGTGTCCGTCATTTATATTTGTATTTTTTGGTAAATTAACAGTTATGTTTTCGTAGAAATAAACGCAGCAACAATATAAACGTGTTTTATTGTCCGTTTAACGCAAGCCTCCTGCCCTTCTAGCCGCAGTCAGCAACACTGTTTGCGGCGCATTGTAATTACTGACGATGGCGCATAGTCCCCGAATAACGTTACCTGTTATTTAAGGTTACTTTTAAGGGTTCGGAAGAGAATATGATTCATTTTCCCACAAAATTTTCAATTCGCTCCACTATAGTGTATAGTCCGCCTATTACAGTGCCTCTTCATATTCGGTATTTCACTGAATGCAGTCCCAATGAATTTTTAATTTTGAGTTCTCATTGGATGGGTTATTTCCATATATAGTCAATTTTTCTGGAGTTTTGGACCTCCGAATCGATAGTAATTTCTAAATTTAAATCCTGGCAATATGATCTCAATTTACCTATCATAAATAAAGTTTCATCAAAGTTAAGGAAGCCACAAAGTATGCTAAAGGGTAGAAACCTTTGGTGTTTAAATTATGTCAGTGAGCCTCTTCAATTACGATAGAATCCACCAAATTTAATATGTGTCTTTCAAACTTTGCACAGTTTTTTATATTATTCTTAGGATGATTGACGTTGCAAAAGGTGTATAATTGTTCCTTTTCAGATATAGCCCTCATATAATATTATATCCTAATATTCGTCGATCAAATGTACTCTTATTTGGCCGATTTGAGGTATTTTGAAAGGCTCGAAATACTCATGTCAGACCCAACAAAGTATATATATTCTTGATCAGCGTAAAATTCTAAGTCGATTTAGCGATGTCCGTCCGTCTGTTCGTCTGTCTGTCTGTCTGTCTGTTGTAATCACGCTATCTTTCGAATGAATTGAGATAGATGGCTAAAATTTTGCACACGTGTTTATTTTTCCAGTAGGCAGGTTAAGTTCGTAAATGGGCCATGTAGGTCCACGTTTTCATATAGCCCCCATATAACGGTACCTCCCTATATTCGGTATTTTGATGATTTTAGGGACATTTTTCACCGGCATTGTTTCAAATTTGGTATTTGAAGTTCAAAATGGATACTATACCCTAAGACAGAAAATTGTCTGTGCAGGTCCACGTCTTCGTATAGCCCCCATATAACGGTACCTCCCTTTATTCGGTATTTTGATGATTTTAGCGACATTATTCACCGGAATTGTTTCAAAATTGGTATTTGAAGTTCGTAATGAATACTACAGTCTAATATAGAAAATTGTCTGTGCAAGTCCATGTCTTCGTATAGCCCCCATAAACGCTACCTCCCGATATTCGGTATTTTGATGATTTTAACGACATTATTTACGGGAATTGTTTCAAATTTGATATTTGAAGTTCGTTATAGGAACTACAGTCTGTGACAGAAAATTGTCTGTGCGACCCGCAGGTCTTCGTATAGGCCCCAATATCAGTACCTCCCTATATTCGGTATTTTCATGATTTTAGCGACATTATTCACCGGAATTGTTTGATAATTGGTATTTGAAGTTCGTAATGAATACTACAGTCTAAGATAGAAAATTGTCTGTGCAAGTCCATGTCTTCGTATAGCCCCCATATAACGGTGCCTCCTGATATTCGGTATTTTGGTGATTTTAACGACATTATTCACGGGAATTGTTTCAAATTTGGTACTTGAAGCTCAAAATGGATACTACACTCTAAGACAGAAAATTGTCTGTGCAAGTCCACGTCTTCGTATAGCCCCCATATAACGGTACCTCCCGATATTCGGTATTTTGATGACTTTAGCGACATTATTCACCGGAATTGTTTCAAAATTGGTATTTGAAGTTCGTAATGAATACTACAGTCTGTGACAGAAAATTGTCTGTTCGGGTCCAGGTCTTCGTATAGGCCCCATATATCAGTACCTCCCCATATTCGGTATTTTGACGATTTTAGGTACAATACCCACCGAAATTGTTTGAAATGTGGTATTTGAAGTTCGTAGTAGATGCTACAGCCTGTGACAGAAAATTGTCTATGCTGATCCAGGTCTTTGCACAGCTCCAATTTAACGGCACCTCCTTATATACGATATTTTAATGATTTTAGCTACATTATTCACCGTTTATTTCAAGTTTCCAATATGAATATGGTAATGGCTTATGACAAACAATGCCTATGTATGTCCATGTCGTATAGACCCCAATATAACGGCTATATGCGGTATTTTTTAAAATTTTAACAGAATTTTTTAAGGATTTTATTTTTTAAAAATTTCCAAATTCGTTGCAAATTGTGGAGGGTATTAAAAGTTCGGCCCGGCCGAACTTATTGCTTTTTAACTTGTCTATATTTAATTTTTGAATTGGAATATTAATACCAATTTATTTAATTGACTTAATTTCTTGAGAATTTAAATTGAAGGCGGGTTACATTGAAGTGTAGTACCGAATTATGTGGTGGTGAAACGGAATAAATGATACCGAAATAATTTAACGCGGTCACACCAAAGTTAAAAGATAATTACTATTTCAAAATCGCTAAAAAATCACGAAAAAAGATCTCATTGCAAAAATTCTCAAATCCGAAAAAATCGAAAAAATTTTAATTGGAATCGAATTTTATAATAATAGTACACTCTATTGATAAACATCCCAAGGACCTTTCAACTTTTGCTGTAAAAAATCATCGAACAAGGTGAAGATTTGTTCTTTTTCTTTTCTTGTTTTGTAAATTTTATATAATGTACGCTAAAATTTTAAATGATTTTTCAATTTGGCTTATCATATTCAATTCAATCGATTTTTTGTGAACAAAATAAAGAACTATTTTCATAAAAGTAAGTTATATTAGGTACTACGCTTATAACTAAAGAACGGCTTGGCGGATTTTGACAATTCATACATTTTTAGAATGGTATCCTGGCAAAAAAATTGCGGTAAATTATGCCAATAAAAATATGAATGAAAAATATCTTTTTGGTGTGATTTTTTGTTTAATTTGATATACTATATTAAAGTGAACATTTTTTATTATTTTGAATTTTAAATGAATAATATTAAAAATGAAATGAGTAACTTACGTACATCCTACTTCTTTCATATGACAATAATCCGTTCAATGAGAACTTAAAAAATGCAATTCATTGGGACTGCAATCAGTGAAATACCGAATATAAAGGGTGCAAAATCGTAGTGCGAATTGAAAATTTAGTAAAAAAAGGATTTATATCCTTCTAGAAATTCTTCCTAAACTTTCAAGACATCTTAAATCGCTTTTGCAGGTCATCATATATGACCCTCGGTTAAGGGTACAGCCCGATTTCGAGTATAGTTTACATTTGAACCATATTTTGCATAGTCATTTCAGCAAAGGTTGGTAATTTGAGAAGAAACCATCGTCGCAAAAAATGACCACATTTTGGTGTAACCATCATATGATTTAAGTAATTTTCAGGGTCTTGGACATTTTTTTCACATTTAGGACTTTATTTAGCATTTTTTTTCTAAGGGTGTAGAAAACCTCTTCTCATGAAATTTTCAATATTCGGAGTAGGGTCCATCTTGGTCTTGACCACATTCATCAATTGATTTGGCTAAAAAAATTGTATTTAGGCTACTCTGGGGTAGAGAATCATTTTACAGATAATTGTCCCTTTAGGCATTTGTTTGAGTATAGTTCTTACATGAGTGTACCTCCAAGTCCAGTTTTCCAAAAAATGTTTTGTCAGAAAAGAAAATTTTATATTCTATTGAATTTGTAACCCCCAGAGAATATTGGTTGGGAACGTAGATTTGGGATGTACTCTACGACATAAACTCCGCATTGTCAAACGCATTCAGTCGGAAATTTTGGCAGAAACATAAAAAATTACGAATATTAATTTCTCTGATCGTCATTGAATTATACTATGATGAAAAATATGAACTTTATGGGGTCTCCACAGCACAATTTAAATGACAAAAATAAATAAATTCCATTCTTAGAAGAGTAATTATCTTTGACCATTCTGAAATCATTCTGCCCCTAATTATGAGGCGGACAAAACAAAATACCACACAGCACGGTATTCTAAACGTTGTAAACACAAATCCAAAACCAAAAATTCAATTCAAAATATCTAAAACCGACAACAATTGATTTATATATATATATATATAAATCAATATATAAATCAATATATATATATATATATATATATATATATATATATATATATATATATATATATATATATATATATATATATATATATATATATATATATATTGATTTATATATATATATATATATATATATAAATCAATTGTTGTCGGTTTTAGATATTTTGAATTGAATTTTTGGTTTTGGATTTGTGTTTACAACGTTTAGAATACAGGATTTCTATTTAGAAATTACTATCGAACCTGAGGTCGGAAACTCCAAAAAATTGACTAGATATGGAAATAATCCATCCAATGCAAAATTCATTGGGACTGCAATCAGTGAACTACCGAATATGAAGAGGCAATGTAATATGCGTACTGTACAAAATAGTGGAGCGAATTGAAAATTTAGTAAGAAAAAGATTCATATCAGCTGAAAATTCTTCCGAAATCCTTAAACAAACCCGTAACCTTAACTTATAGGTAACGTCATACGGGGACTATGTGCTATCGTCAGTAATTACACTGCGCCCTAGTCAATTATGAGGTTGAAAAAGTTCTAAATTTGATGCAGTCCTATTGGTTATATAAAGAATCATTTGTACAAAATATGTTTCAGGTTGGTCTGCATTGTAATATAACCCTTTTTTTAATTCCTTAAATGTTGGTTATTTGAGATTTTAGAAAGAACAACACATTCTTTCATATAATTATAAGTATGGGACCAAGCCTTATATGAAGGCATCCGCTAATTTCAACTATTTCCAGGGTGTTGGTCACATTCTAGGTCACCTCTTCGCGGAAAAATTTCAATTTCAATGTTTTGGAGTAGCCCTCATATAAAAGTACCTCCTGATTTTACCTATTTCGAGGGTTTTGATTATATTTTCGAATCGATTTGGCTTAAAATGTGTATTTAGGCTACTTTGGTAGAGAACCACCTTACATGTTATAAACAGTTGATGTGTACTGTTTAATAAATGTGCTATAT